GTGAAAAGAAATTTGAGCTTTGAAAATGCACTTTAAAGCCCAACAACACAACAAAAATTTAAGGTTCTTGAATTAATTTCGCAACTGTTTCAGCTTCTTAGAGCCTAAAATGAGCATTTTTAACCTAATAAAAAGATTGGTCTTGTTACTTGCCGCTTTTTGCGGCTTATCTTAAAAACCGTTTAAGCTATCAAACTCGTGTTTCTACCACTGGATAGGGAATTTAAAACGCCATCCCGTAAGCGTCACTCGGATGAGAAGATAGTGGCAGTTTTCACAAAATAACGAAATTTGAGTGACACATTTAGCTGCAAGATTAGGCCAACATTTCGTACATCACGCCACCTTTTTGCTCATTTCTCAGCAACAGATCGCGCTAGAACGATCATTCCGATACCACTGGATAGAGCACTAAATGACGCGTCTAACCAGTAAAGCGCTAATAAAATGTTGTCAATTTTCCCTCAAAAAACCAAAATTTAAAGAAAACTTCTAGTTTCTCACAGTGCGACAACGTATCTCAAGAACCCTTCGAGGTACAGAAACCGTTCTTCTGTCACCGGATAGAGAATTTAAAATCCCGGGCAGGAAGTGGAACTTGAGTTAGGAAAATGTGCCGTTTTCACACAAGAAGCAAAAGTCGAATATCACACATTTCGGTGCAAAATAGTTGTTGCGAGAAGGTTCGGAAGCAGATCAGCAGACGTAAACACTCCCATAATGGAAAAGCTGATTATTTAGGCGTGCTCTTCCTTAAACAAAAAACTTTCCAAATCGTCCAAAGAATCGAAAAATGCCCAAAAACTTCCACTCGCTACGCTCAAACGAGACTTTTCTACAAAGTTTTTGCCACAGGGTTCGAAAGCAATCAGCCGATGTAAACAATCCCATAATAGAAAAGCTGATGGTTTGGGCGTGGTTTTCTCCAGGAAAAACATCTTCAAACCCTTCCAAAAAACGAGAAATTCCCCAAAACTCCCCATTCTAACACACTAAGCTGCCAACACCTCCCTAATGTAGCAGTTTCCAATCTGCGTGAAAACTTTCTTAAACAAATTGTTGTCCAAAAAGTTTACACTGTGTAAACCGCTCAAAAATTCAGTTTCTTTGATTGGCACTCCGCAATGTTGCCAATTTTCTTCTTCATTGAAGCCTATTGGAGAACTTTTGTGCAGAAAAGTTGGATGCTGCAAGTAAAATTTTAGAAATATTGCGGCCTGAAGCTGGCGAGGACCGCTGCTAGAGACCCCAACTGGAAACCCCTAGGAAATGCGACATTGCCTATTCCTCAAACGGAAAATTTTGCTGCTGTCTCATTCCCAAGGGCCCTGTGGACATTTCATGCGCCCCACAATGTTTGGACAAAGTGACTAATTCCCATCGTTTCCCACAGTTGAAGTTTTACGACCCTTCGTGGCAACACTGGCCCTTAAACACTGAGAAAAATTTTAAATCCTCTCCAGTCCAATAAACAATTCCTTCTCAAACGGTCTGCGACTTTTTTACTGATGAGGCAACAGCGCGGGAGGTTTAAAAAAAGTTCAAATCTTCATACATCGCGCCACCTTTTTGCTCATATCTCAGGAACAAAAGGAGCTGGAGCGCTCATTTTTACACCACTGGATAGAGCTCTAAATGGGACATTTACAAAAGGAAACACCACTCGGGAAATATGGGCAGTTTTGGCAACACTGGCCGCGCAAGCCCAACCCTTTTGCTAACATCAGTCGCTTTAGAGCTTTAAAAATCCCAGTACCCTAAACGGTGTTCTTCAAATGGAAAACAATTGCAAAACAATTTTTTTGTTAAATAATACTCTGGCCTTAATGAGCTTTTCTAGTCAAGGCCGCAATCAGAGCATGGATCTACGTAATAGCAAACAAAAAACCGTAACTTACATAACGGCCCATCTTTTATTATTTACGATGTATTAAGTAGAAAGCGATTGTTTTGATATGTTAAAATCGCCGCCGAGTGATGTAAAGATGCGAAAAATTTGGCAAAAAATTAGCCATGACCCATTAGGATAGATTGGAATTTCACTTACTGTTCAATTTCCAAGAAATTCTGGTTAACTGGTGCAATTAACCGTCGATAGAAAAGCGTTGGCATTCGTGATTAAGCGATCCGAAATGGAAAGTAACGAAATGGTATCTGGGACGAAATGTATAACGATTCAAAAGAGATGCAATCAATAATTACGGTTTTGACGGTAAAAGTGATTTTGAATGTCGATTTTTTCTCAATATTGAGCACACAAACTATCACTTTTCAGGTGTGTTCGACTGTCGATGCGAAGCAACGAAACGAACGGATTTCGGCAGCCTAAAAACGACTTCTTTGTGAATAGGAAACCGCAACTGATATCTAGTCTAAATCATCTAGTCCGAGAAAGTGTAATACAAAGACCTTTTATGGGCTTAAAGTGAAGACTATTGCACGACTTTGCCTAAACAATCGGCGATTTTCGAGGTTTTAGACCGCAGTCGATAGTAATTTAACTATGGCGCTTCGCCCCCATGCATTGTTACCATCTTCAAGAAAAATCAAATCTGATTCGAATTAATTCAATGAAACCGATTTTCCATTCAGTAACGCGGCTGACATCGGATCTCTCGCTCGCGCTCATAAGACACTATGCGAGCTGTCAGAGACTTGTGCGCTGCTGCGTTCCAAATTGATACCTTGACGCCTTGAAAAGTTTTGATTTTTAGCGAGTCGAAACCATAGGAATTGAGTCCTGATGTTTCGAATGAATGAAACCTCTGAAGAAAATGAATGGAAAAAACCATAACTTTTTGTTTGATCCATTGGGAGTTGAAATTCGTAATTTTCCTTCATTTTCCTTTAGGTGAAGAAACCGAATTAACCAATAAACCTTGCACATTGGACACAAGCCTTGAACGTAATTAATGGCTAATTAAAACCTGACGCGTGGCACCAATACTCAGCTACTGAACATTAACATAATATAATACAAATTACAAAATTTTATTATAATTAACCAACAAACAAAAATTTATGACCCACATGGATGCGTGCAGTTTTAAAAAGTTGAGTGCATCGCACAATGTTTCCTAATCCGCTTAATCGATGGGTTCGGGTTGATGGGCATTTAATGTAAATTAATCATTTGGCATACTTTTTTCATGTGTGAACAACGTTTCAATAATCAGAAACTTTTGTGTTTTTCGCAGCAACACTCGAGTGAGTTTTTGAAATGTATTGCCTAAACTATTCACTAATTGAGAATGTTAAGCCTGAAGTTTAGCGTCGGCTCGCCTGATTGGATTTGCAAGAAATTGCTAAAAACCATCAATCTTGATTGCATAATTAATGAACATTAAACTATGCTGCTTAGCTTTCTTCACTTGCAGTTTCAACATTCGCCCAAATGTGTGAAAGTAATATGGAAAACTCGGATATTTTAGCAATTTTTCGGGCAAATACCACGCGCGATCGTGCTGCAGTGAGTGGAGTGAAGAAAAGCGCTCGTTAGCCTAATTGCTCCGGGTGAAGATAAGAAAAATTGCTTTTACTTGTCTCAGATACAGCCCGGAGAAGACGTGGATAAGATTCAGTTACTTTCACAATGTCGCCATATATACGAGCGGCGAAATTAGATTATGGTGCTAGTTAGGAATGTATCTGAACGGCCGAAAGGAAGAGTTGACTTTCCTAAAAGGCCTGCTTATCTGGGGCGGCCGATGTGAAATCGCACTAAGGTTGCAGCAAAAAGACTAAATTCCTCACTGCTCACCATAGCAGAAGCAAACGCGCTCAAATCAGCCGTTTGTCTTCAAAATTTGTAGGTTTTCCCACAGTAAAAAAGAGCGCATTAACAGTGGCAATCGCGTGCTTTCACTGATTTTGATGCGGTTGTTTTCAAATTAAAATTTAATCGTCACTGAGCTTCGGATGATTACCAAGAATGTGTAAAATTACTTCTTCAAGCAAATATGTTCATAACACTTCCTATAGGAAGGAGCTGAAAACATCGCTGGCTTCAGTAAGTTTCTAATTGCCTTAAATGTTTATTATTAATCAGTGTGTTTCGGCCGGCACGCGACTTCTTCCTTCGCTTTTACTTTTACCAGTTGGCCAATATTTTGAGTGCAAAAACTAAAGCTCGCTTTTCAAAACGTTTCGCCAGATTCATTTTTGGCCATCCTCAGAACTTCAATGTAGCATTCAAAGGTTTCACCCTGATCCGAATCACTTGAATGAAACCGATTTTTCCATTCAGGAACGCAACTGGCATCGGTTTTCTCACTCACACACACAGTGTCTATGATAGGGGTTAGACGGCTTACGCGATGCTGCGTTCGAACTTGACACGTTTACGGCTGAAAATATTTTCGGTTTGAGCGACCCAAAGTTGCAAAAACTGTTCGGATTGTAATGAAGGAAACTGTATTGCTGTGTATTGATTAAAAATCCAACATTGAGAAAGTTCGTGCCGGTCGATTTTGACTAATTTCAGTGTTTAAATGGCAAAGAGCGAACATCCGGGAGGTTTCAAGCGGCATTTCTTAGACAGGCCAAATAAATTAGAATGCGTTTTCTAGGAAATGACTGCGGCGAGTAGCGCCATTACGTAACATTGCCATAATGCTGCATGCTTCATTCTTTGGGCCAAAATGTTGAAACGCAGCTGAAAAACTGGAATGTTAATACAGTCGGTGGTCGATTGTTGGTCAACATTCAAAGTGTTTTGGTTACTGCAGAATAGAAACGTGAAGAAACGTTTTTATGTCGAGAATTCAATATTTCGGTGGTCATATGCAGGAACATTCTGTGGTTGATGGGTGCCAAAAATCTATTAATATCTAAGGCGAATACACAATGAGAAACATATTGGAAGCAAGGAGAAAAATGGAGTTTAAGAAGCTCCCACACGGCGTTTTCTTTTCAGTATTCAGTAACAGGGCAGAAACTGAGCCAAGTTTTCCGCTAGTCTCTGTGGTGGTATAATCCAAAGTGGTACTTTTTTAAACTACCTTATCCTGATCTGCTGATCACCATCGGCAAAAGGAAGCAACTTGAACTGCCCCTATTTCACGCATGCATTCAAAAATGTCACAATGTCTTCGTATAATCAGCGGGCGCGCACCGGAAGACGTAGTCTATCCAAGAACCACCGTATCGTCCCGAACTGGGTTCGTTTGATTTTTTTGCGGACGTCAGGGTCAGTAGAAAAATATAGTGGACGCAGGTGTCGCGACTGCAATTCTGAAGTCTCGACCGAATGATCGGTAATTTACTTTCTCTATCACTTGGCAAACCAGTGGTGTAACTGGGAGTAAAAGGAGCGGTGTTAGATAATTGGCTGGATGGTTTCGACAGCATGGTAATGCTGATTAGAAATTTGCAATTGATGCGTTTATTTGGTGGTCTTCCGACTGCTTCCTATTCAATGAAGAAACTGCATTTTCACAGTATTTTATCCCAAATTAAAATCAAATCCTGGGTTCTTCAGTCATTTATTGTCTATTTATCAATTAAAAAAACGTTTCGGTGTTTTCCACCATCATCAGTT